ATCCACTCACCTCGGCCTCCCAAAGCATGGGATTACAGGCTGAGCCACCGAGCCTGGCTAAGCTATATGAATTTCAACATTAATAGGGAAGCTGCTTTTTCTTAGACAAGAAAGGAGGAAACACGCTTGTTCCCAAAGTTCTAGCAGAACACCCCGCATAGCTACCCTTCCAATGAATTATCTGCTATTATCATTATCATTCCCGCCACCTTCTGTTCTCCATTCAGAACGGAGGCTCAGAGCAGAGAGCTGAGGCAGGAGGCCAGCCCTGAACACTATGCCCCTTTGCTACTTTGAAGGTCAGCATATCCTCAGGATGGAATTCACCCTCTGTCCTTTCTCTTCCTCTCCCTTGGATCCTCCCCTCTCCTCTGATGAGACCCCACAGGTATGCCCATAAAGATGATCCAAACTGCCTAAGAAAGAGGCTAAAATCAAGCAAGGCCACATCCCCAGTGAGGCCTAAGGGCTATATATATTTCCCCCTTCCAGGCACACAGCCATCAATCTGATCCCATTTACAAATTTTTTAGTAATTCTAGGTCTCCATCACCTGTTTGACCTACTGGCCCTAGGCTGTCCCAGTAATGAATTCTTCCTTTCTGGTGCTTTGGGGTTCAGAAGAGACTATTGGCAAAAGAAAAGGGGGGGGGGAGGGAATGGGGTGTAGATGGTCCAAGGTCATCAGAGCCCACGAAAGGAGGTTTGCAAGGAAGTCCCCCACACCCTAGGCCATGGTTCTGTTTATGCATGAGGCATGGTGTGGAGGCTGAAATCCCCAAAGGGACTCAATTCAACTCAATGAAGACACAAGCTGCTTGGACACTAGGGGCCCCAAGAGGCCACCAAATGACCTCTCTTGCAGGATAGTCAGAGCCACAGTGTCTTTCAGGAACCTCTTTAGAATCTAAAATATCCTTAGAAATGACATTCCCTGGACACCACGATCCCCTAACTCTGGGGGCCGAGGAAGCAGGTGTGACTGCCCCATGGATGTGCTATCACAGCTCAGATGCACCAGGGCCATCAATTCCCCCCAGGAACCAGCCCCTTACAGCAAATATCTCCCAGTCTGCTCCTGCCAACTCAATCCCTATCTCGCCTGCTATTAACCAGACAAGCAGATCCACCTTCTCACAGCTCATCTCTATCCTTCTTGGGTTTTCTGTCATCATTACTGCAGTTCAGGCCTGCAGACCCTCATCTCCAGATTTTCGCCAAAGCACTTGAGTTAGTATTCTTGACCCCAACCCTCTTCCCGTCACTCCATACAGCCCACTTTTCCTGGCTAATTCTCACCAAGCATTGCTTTCATTACCTTTAATAGCGTCTTAGTTTAGGTCTCCCCCCAAAAGATTCCCAGACAAGGACTTAGGTTTAGGAGTTTATCCCAGGGAGTGCAAGTGAGTAAATGGGGAAATTGAGGCACGGACTGGCCAGAAAAGCCAGTGGGGGTACGTTAACGAGTAGGTTACCAGTGTGAGAAATAGGGCCTTGATGCTGCCTGGGAACCCCTGAGGCACCCACAGAACCCATGTCAGAACTGTCCCACCAAAGAGCAGAGAGTCCAGGCTACTCTCCTGTAACTACACTCCTCCTGGGTTGAGGGTCGCTCCTCGGGGCACAATCCCATCACTTCCAGGGGTCCCTGCATGAAGCAAGCTGCTGTGGTCTGAGAGGATTCCTTCAGGCAGAGGGAAAGACACAAGTGAGAAGCTGTCTACCAAGACTATAGGCAAGCTCCGGTTGGGCCCTGAGCACCAGGGGTAGGCCATCAACAGCGTCTACCACAGTTCTCCATGCCTTCAGGAGGAAGGTCTCACTCCCTGGGCCTGGCCTTTGAGGCAGAGTAACCAGATCAAAGACAGGACACCCAGTTAAACCTGGATTTCACAGAAGCAATGGATTTTTTTTTTTAGTATAAGTATATCCCACTATGTATGGGACATATTATGCTAAAATATGATTTGTTTATCTGAAATCCATATGTAACTGCATCCTCTAGCTACTACATCCAGCAACCCTACTTCAAGGATCTCTCTGCTTGATCTGTGTCTCAATTCACTTCCCATGACCCTAATTCTCAAACCCTCTTCTCCACAAGAAGCAGCCCACCTCTCGCCTCTAAAAATAGGTGCTGTCTACATTGGTCATCTTAGGACCTTAAGTCATTTGCTGCATGTGTCTGAAAGTCTTATTTTCCCAGCGAGATTGTAACTCTCACCTATCCTGGCACAACACTTACTAGGTAATTATTATTTGGCAGATGAGGGGACCCCCTGATGACCCCAGCAACTTTAAGCCTTGTGGGGATTCCGACCCAGTTCCTTTCCCTTCCTACACCCCCTGCCGCCCCGCCTCAGCCTAACCAGAGCACTGGGCACACGGTCACACTCATTGGCAAGTGTGGAATAATTGAATGAATACTACTTTGGGTAGGGGTTGGATCATGCCAAGAATGTTGTAAAAGCCGCCAAGCCAGCAGCAAGAAGGGTGGTCTGAGTATCCCAACTATAACATTTTCCAACTGTCATGGCTTGGTCTCCCAATCCTTTTTCCGGTTCTGGATTTTGTCTTACACTACCATTGGCACCACCCCACGGGCACAGCCACACACACACACTCACACACGGCATCTGAGACCAGCCTCACCATTTGGCCTCAATACAACATGTTCTGTCCACTGGACAATGTCATGTTCTGTTCTTTTTACTCTCTATCTCTTTACTGTTTAAATTAGGTGCTCTGGTGTATATATAACAGCCATACATTTATATAATGCTTTGAATCTGTAAGGAGCCCAGCCTAGACAACATAGTGAGACCTCATCTCTACAAAAAATGTCAAAAAATTAGCCAGGCACAGTGGCCCGTGCCTATAGTCCCAGCTACTTGGGAGGCTGAGGTGGAAGGATCGCCTGGTCACAGGATTGTCCAGGTTGCCTGTCACTGCACTCCAGCCTGAGCGACAGAGTGAGACTCTGACTTTAAAATTAAAAAACAAACATTAAAAAATCTGTAAGGAACTTTCCCATTAGTTATTTTATTTCAATATTCCTATAAAGCAGGCAAATGAATATTGTTTTCTCCACTTGACAAATGGGAAAAACAGTGGTTAAATGGCTTTCTCAAGTGATCGCTGTCAAGGAAAGGTTTATAGCTGCAATGTTTCGCTTTTAATTTACAAATATGGCTTAAAACTGTCTTACATGACAAATATAAACAGGAATACTTTGTTTTAAGAGAGAATGCTTATTCCTGTGTACTCAAGTCACCACTGTGGGGGCCACACAAAAGTTAGGGGACCAGTTACCTGCCTCCTGAACCCCCACTACCAGGGAGGGCTGACCGGGCACCCCACTCCGGCTGCTCGCACCAGGAGTCTGGGGCTCCTCGCCTCTGGATCCCACTTTCCTCATCCAAATGTTAGACATATGTGGTCCGGAAAGTTTACACAGGAGCACCTTGAGGGGAAATCTAAAAGGAAGAGCTGCACTCAACAAACCCAGGACAGCGACTAGTAGGATTCGCAGCGGGGAGTGGCCAGCCGCGCCACCCCAGCGGCGCTGGTCGCTGCAGGATTCGCTTTAATGAGGTGTCCAGGCAGCACTCAGACGGGGTGGGACTCACTGCGCACTCTCGACCCGCCCCAAGATCCGCCATCCGGCAGAAAGAACAAAACATTCTCCATGGAGCCCTCTATTCTGTGTGCCCGTGCCCGTGCGTGGGTCTGTGCTTGGACAAACACTGACTTGGCTGGTTGAGGCGGAGGGTGTGACCCAGTGGAGGGCTCCCTTTGAGTAAAGGTTGGGACTGCACCGCACCCCCTACCACCGGACCTCCCTGCTGGGAAGTGAGGACCAGCGGCCACGGGCTACCTGGGCTGTCCACCCAAGGGGAGGGCGCGCCACCGGGCCTGCCGCTCCCTCCCTCCGGCGGGACAAAGTCAAGTCGCAGACCGATCGAAGTCGCCAAAGTCAGGCCCCGGCTGCCGGCGTGGCCGGGGCTGAAGTGCAGAAGCTCCAAGCCCCTAAATATCGCGGAGGCCCGAAATAC